TTTTTAATTATTTTTTGGTTTCCCGGAGGTTTGGAAATAATTAAAATAATTAAAAATAATTAAAATAATTAAGACAATTAGAATTTTAATTATTCTGATCTCGTGAGGAGCAAATGTTGCGACAACACATTCTGGACAGCTCCTTGGCAGTTGTCCGTTCCAAGCGGATACTGGCTTCTTGTGAAGAATTGAAGGTCTGGCCTACACGGATTCAGTTTGTGGAGGCACTGGCTGCACTTTCCTGTCTTCACAGAACCGACATGGGCCGGAAGATCGAAGGGACTAAAACTACGCTGGCGAAGCTCCTACACAATGTCACAAGTGCAGAGCAGCTGGAGTGGCTCTTCAACAACTTGAGGTACAGGCAATTCTTACCACATCGAGTTCGTCTGCTGCTGCCTTCAGGCACTACTGCCAACGAAGCACTCCATGCAGAAATCAACTCATGGTATCGACAGACTCAGCAGATGCACCGCAGCACATTGGTGCAAAAGCTGCAAATCCAGCAGCTGGGCAAACTATTGGCCCACAACATTGCTTTGCACAGCCCCACAGCAAAGCAGATGCCAAGCTCTCATGTCCTCTCACAGCGAGTTGGAAATCCTCTATGGTCAGCCAAAACCTGGCAGTCGGACATGGCGCAACAAGCATCAACCTTGCCATTGAAAGCTCGCAGAAAAACAGAGAAGGAGCTGGTGGCAGAAGCAGCTAAAAAGCGTCCAGCAGCAGCTCCAAGGCCGAAGGCGCGTGCGAAGCGCACGCCATTTACTTTGGAGCGCAAACCCGGTCTCCTAAGGAGCGGGGTGCGCAAAAGAAACTCGATGTGACAGGTGAAAAAGAATTGCGTAAACACTGCTTGCTGTGCTTGTGCAAACACAAACAACACTATCTTTGGACATTGGCACGCTGGATTAGACTTAACCCTTCTACACTCTGCGCGCTCAATACACAAGCAATTAGTATGTACTCTCAGCGATCAATATGTTGCTTTCTCCCGGCCCTACCTGCTTGCTTGCCTGGTATAGAGGGAACCTAATCTCTATGATTTGCTGGATAGTTTCTTGGCATCGCGCTCCGCATCTGGTTCTCCAGTTTCAAGTCCAGTTATGGAACTGGAGCAACAGCCTTGCTATTTAACGTCTGCGAAGTATTATTGTGCTCTTTTGCTGACAGGAAAAATGGGCGGGTGCTGGATGTTGCACTTAGAACCAAAGCAAATGTTGTCTTGAGAGCTCCCACGACTCATTGTACCTATTTTTCCATGCCTCCGCCCCCCCCCCTCGCAGGGTTCAACTCCACCCTTCTCCTCCTCGGTACCTGCTGCTGCTGCTGCTGCTTGGTGGCTGCTGCTGCTGCTGGCATCTCATCTGCGCCTGGCTCTTGGCTGCTTGCTGGTTGCTGCTGCTCGCTGCTTGCATGCTTGGTGCTGCTGGATGCTCTTGGCTGCTTGCTGGTTGCTGCTGCTTGATGCTTGCATGCTTGCTGCTGCTGGATGCTGGCTGCCTGCTGCTTGTTGTCTGCTCCGTTTTGCTGCTGTTGCTGTTTGGGGTTGTTGGCTGCTGTTGGTGCTGAAGAAAGCCTATTCGTTAGAATCGAGAGTAGTTGCATTCCCTCTGAGTCGTGAAACGATGCTAATTTCATTATATCCTTAAGAAGCTTGTACAGGCATGTACCCACCCCACAACCCCAAGAGTACAAATCAGAATGCACTATCCACTATCCATGCAGATCAAAAGATGATACTTACTACACACATGAATGACAGAACCCAGTAAGATGTTTGAACGGGCTGTTTGCTTCACTCATGGTAGTCCGCGTTCCATGTTCGAGCGACAGGGAGCATGCACAAGCGTTGCGACGGAGTCTTCGGTCGCTGACACATGTTCGCATGCAACCCCTAGATGTCAATCATGCACACCGCTGCTGGCTGCATCGTTAGCATTTATTCGTGGAAAAAACATATATATCAGATTTATCTGTCTTTCCACGTCGCCCTTCTACAATTACTCAGGCAGCACCTATATGTGCTATTGTTCGAGACCAAATTCTGCTGCTGCTGCTGCTGCTGCTTGGTAGCTGGTGGTGCTGCTTGGTAGCTGCTGTTGCTGCTGCTGCTGCTGCTGCCGCTGCTGCTGCTGCTTAGTAGCTGCTGCTGCTGCTGCTGGGTAGCTGCTGTTGCTGCTGGGTTGCTGCTGCTGCTGCTGCCGCCGCCGCCGCTGCTGCTGCTGCTGCTGATGCTGCTGCTGCTGCTTGGTAGCTGCTGCTGATGCTGCTGCTGCTTGGTAGCTGATGCTGCTGTTGCTTGGTAGCTGCTGCTGTTGCTGCTTGGTAGCTGGTGCTGCTGCTTGCTAGCTACTCCTGCTGCTGCTTCTGCTGCTGCTTGGTAGCTTCTGCTTCCTGCCGCTGCTGCTGCTGGTTACAGTTATTGTTGTTGTGGCTGTTGCTGCTGCTGCTGCGGTTGCTGAGGTGGTTGTGTGTTGCCATGTGTTGGCTGTGTTGGGGTCGTATTGGGGGGCGCTGTTGGCACTCTCCTTTTCCCTTGGCCATGGCATGTTGCGATTCCCGGCCAGGCTTTTGCTGCCTAAAGAGCCCCAGCGTTGTTTCTTGGCCCAGCTTTCGCCACCCCCCTCTGGGCCACAAGTATTATATATATATATATGCATGTGTGACATGGGACTGGCAACTATGCTATTCTCTGCCTACCTTCACCCCTTTCTCTTCGCTCCCCGATGTTTTTTTGTGGCAGTCCGCCCAGTCGACGGCCCCGCCTCGAGGAGCTGCTGCCGATGCGGCGGGTGAACTTCACGGTGACCTGTTCCTCCGGTGGCTGCAGCACAGCAACCGAGGCGACGGGTCTCCGCGAACGTTCGCGTTCCCGTTCCGAGAGCTGCGGTGGGGAGCCCCGATCGCTCCGTTCGTAGTAAGGCCAGGAGCCCCCGAATACGTAGCTTCTTGTGACTAGTATACTGATGCCAGGAGCCCCTAGTAAGTAGCGTCCTTGCTCCTAGTTGCGTTCTCCTTTTTGGCGTTCTCAGTGTCACTTAAACTTAGCAGTTTTTGTGGGTCACTGTATCGGTGATACAGTATGCAATTCTCCTTGTGGCCGCGAAAGAACACCGAGGGGGCAGTCTGCAGACACAGACGATGAGATCGGTGGAAGATTTGGAACGTTTTCGCGCGAGTTGCAGCTACACCCGACTGCCTCGTGGGTTGCGGAGCAAAGCATCACAACACCTAGCGTTGGAACATTTGTTGAACACGGTGATCCCCTCTGCGCATCTCTTCGATCGCACAGTCAGGTGCGTTTGGCATTGAGCTGCGGCAGCGAGGGCCACCGAAGCTCGTCGCCCAGTTACACACAGGCCGTGGGAACTGGGGCTCTTGAGAGGTGGGTCACTGGGGATGGTTGGAGCAATGGGAATGTGAAGGTGTTGGTTGGGCGTGGGCTGGGTAGGTAAGCAGGTACGTGCGCAGGTAGGTACGTATAGTGGGTTGCTTTTGAGTTCGGGTCTGCGGTTTGTGGAGAAAGCAATCAATCAATCCCGACCAAATACTTTGAAATGGGCACTCTTCCACGGGCCCGTTTTGGGGGCAAAACGGTGTGGCAAAGAATGGTTGACGAGGTTTGCTCCTGGTCAGCTTGACTGTGCTGGCAACTCCGAAAGGTTGGCCCCAACCGCGTTCTCTTATTGTTTTCTTTCAATGGTACCAAGAGCCTGGACAGGGCGCATTCGCGCCAAGGTCGAGATGGTCTCGACCAGATTGGCCCCTTCCAATTCAACTTCCTTCCCGGGAGTCTGGTCAGAGACAAAACTGCGAGCTGGCGGTGCTGGTGTAGCTCTTAGCCCATCAGTTCATGTGTGGGGCTTTGCCTGGCTAGGGCCCTAGGGGAGGATTGGAGGTGTCCCCACTCAAAGCCAATAAGTGTTTGATTTCGTTTGAACTTTTTTTCTGGGATCGAATCGTCTAGAATCGTGTGTTTCACGTCTCGACGTCTAGGGATCCACTGCCACCTTCTTAGAAGGTGTTTGGACCCTCCAAACCGTTTCCAAACCAAGAAATGAACCGAGTGTCCAATCACTTTCTCAGAGGGTCTTTGGATCCACACGGAATGAAGGTTTAATCTTGAAAGTGTTTGAAAGAAACCCAGCGCGATTCCGGCAGTCAGAAACACATGTTCTTCCAGAAGTGGAGCGCGGAATCCTCCGCGGCCGAGAGTATCTGGATCGTCGACTGGACATAAAACGAGTCACGTTCGACGGGGTGCCTTCACTTGCGGAGGAAGTCGGGGAGCCCCGACGTCACATCCACTCAGATGGGACGAACAAAACCATCCTTTGAGGATAGGGGTGCCCAGAATATCCACTCACGGACCACAGACCATCCCAACATGTGACTCCTGCGACGTTTTTTTTTCTTTTGGTGCAAAGATTCTGGTGCAAAGCGAATGCCTTCAGCGCGGCACGCCTTCGGCCGGCACGGCAGGCCGTTGGCTTGGCCTATGGCGCCTTCCCCAGCAACGTGCTGAGTCCCAGCGGCGAGGCCTTTCAGGCGTGGCTCTGAGGGTTTTGACGCGTGGAAGGAGGGTGGGACACATTTGTTCTGCGTTTTATGTTGGTTTTTATGAATCAATTTGTTTGATTTCTTTTTGATACACATGCAGTGATGTGTCCCATGAATGTGATTAGGGATATGCTTGCATTTACGTTCCAGATATTAACTGCTAATTAATTGCAATGTCGATTTGCATCGTGATGCGTGTCGCCGGAGTACAATGAGTAAAATGACGCAATGACTGTGGGGAGTCCTTGCATTCTGGCGAAGGAAGTTGTTTTAGGTGTCACGCCCACTCGCGACCCGCAGCGGCGCGCGCGTTTGGTGGAAATCATATTTCGGTTGTTGGGGGGGGGTGGGCGGGGGGGTTCAGTTACGTCGTTCAGTTACATCGTTCACGGAACGTCGTCACGGAAACCAGCGGGTTCAGTTACGTCGATACGTCGTCGTCGATACGTCGATAGCACCGCAGTTTTGGCAGCTCAATGCGTTCGTTGTCCCTTCGTTGTTGTGTGTCTTTGTGTGTTGTGATTCTCTTTGTGTGTTGTGATTCTTCTTCGTTTGACTCGTCGTGACTCGTCTTTTGTCTGAGTTGTGCGGAAAGACAGTTGTGCGCAAGATGCCACGGAAAGACTGGCGTCCTTGTAGCCTGAGTTGTGCGAAGAAAAGTCAGTTTGCAACTTTTTGGGGGTTGGACAAAAACGTACACTTGTAAATCCCCTTAGAATTTCAGATCAACGTCCAAAAAAAGGGGTGAATTGTGGAGCGAAATGAACATGCGAACATATGGGACAACATTGAAAACATTGTGAAGGACCATGGATGCATTTCAAATGACCTGAGTGCTGTGTGCACGACTACGCGGGTCACTCGGGGTCGTGTTACCTTGTTTTACACTCCCCCAACACATGGTTTCGGACGTCCTCCACCTTGTTGAAACAGGGTGTCTTCCAGAGGAATCGATTCCAGGTGTCCTTATCTTGTGGATCAAGGTGGAATTGATGGGAGGAAAACATCCTGCAAGGCAAGTGCAAGGTGGAGATCGATGTCGTTCCCTTTCGTGACTCCACTGTGTGTGTGTGCGCCGGGTGGAGGATTTTGTCCAGCAGCCTTACTACATGTATCCAGTTATTGTGATATGAACATTGCCTTGTGCAAACGACCACATTGCAAGCCGCTGCTTTTTCAGGAAGAAACCAAAGACCCGGCAGTTCGCCACTGTTGACCGGATTTCGCCGGCCACTGTTGACGCTTCTCGCCGCGACGCGCCTTTCTTCCGTGCAAGGCCAATTTGGATGTCTCCACCCTTCTTCCAGGTGGGACCGGTTGTGCATTTCAAGGGTTGTGCAGGACCGATATGCACGTGCAGGGGATCCGAAGACACGAGACACGAGTTTTCTGGAACGTGATCATAAAAGGATTTCTCTAGTGCCCGAACTTTTGTGTGGCTGACGCATAGTTGAAGAGGGGGTGCATGGACAATTTTGACAAAAGGAATGTGATCTTGGCAGCTGACCAGTGTTTTCCTGCGCTTCAAACAAAGAGCACATGTTGGATTATAATCGGGTCAACTGGTGAGCGTGGCAGGTGAGCGTCGAACAGCCTAGCGTGTCAACCAAGGATTCGACTACCGTCTTTGCATTGATCTGGATGGCTACTATGGCTCATCTGTGCCAGGACACATGGGGCGGAGCCCACTCCGCGGCCAAACCTCCCCCGACTCCGTATATTGAGTTATTTTCGCCTTGTTTTTGGCCTCACCGGGGTCACTGCAGAGGCCTGAGAAATTTTGGACCTCCCGGCCAGAAGAAGGATTCCAAAGAACATTCATGAACTCTCACAGCCATCCCTAGCCTGTGTGATCTGTATTTTCCAGCTGTGGTGGAGAAATCTCATGACAAATTTCCTTGTTACTACAGTAATTAGTAGCGATGCCAGGAGCTACTAGTAGAGTCCTTGCTACTAGTAGCATTTAGTAGCAGTAGCGATGCCCTTTGTTCTTAGTAGCTTCTTGTTACTACAGAAATAGAACCTTCTTGTTACTAGTAAGCTTCTTGTTCCTAGTAGCGATGCCCGGGTTCCTGGTAGCGATGCCAGGAGCTACTAGTAACTAGTAGCTTCTTGTTACGAAATAGAACCTCAAGATTTCAATCAAGTGAGTTGGATCTCCTGGTGACCACACAGATGCTTTCGTCCGACTGCTTTCAAATTGATTGTTTCATGCGGCGGCCTACACTGGCACACCAGACGCGTTAGGCATCTTTGAACCAATATCACCCCCCAAAGTAAATGTGGAAGTGAAGGGTTGAATGTGTAATGAAGGAATTGAATACTGAAACTTCAATTTGTGGACCCAGAAAATGTGGACTTTGCCAACCGCCCCTGGAGGTCCAAAGGAATCATTTTACCTTGTCCCTAGACTTCCTTTCAACCATAAAAACCGGGAACGACCTGGTTTAGTGTAAAATCGGTAGAACAAGGGTACTTCAGGATTCAGCCCATTAATGGCGCAGGAAGCCTAGGGGGGCTCTTCTTCCGGGGTCTCTTACACCCGGCCGGTCCGACCCACCTGTTCGCACCTGTACCGGACCTGGCGGTCTCAGACGTTGGTGACGTGACCAGGTCGGTTTCCACGTCACGTACGCGTACGGGGGACCAGGTAGGTGGGACCAGCTGAGTCGGAAGTTAAGGAAGAAAGCTCCGAACGTCGCGTCCTTGCTCCTAGTGGTGATGCCAGCCCCGAACATAGCATCCTTGTTCCGTTCGTAGTACCGCCAGGAGGGCTCAAAAGCATCGTCTAGATCCGGTGGATCCGCTGGACCCCGTCGTTTTCTGACGCCATATAGGTGATGGATGTATGTTTCTGACCCGGGGTTGAGACGTGGTATAGATTCTAGTGGATCCCAGTTTATAGATCTGTATAGCACTGTATGTAACGTAACACTATATTATTAGGAAGCAGGGTTTATAGGTCCAAACGGTTTCAGTCTTTGGAACCACTTACCATAAGTTACCTACTATATAGTCTATAGCTATAGTGGTAAGTGGATCGAGTGTGATGACTTGGACTATGATCGAGGCATCGAGACCTATACGTCTCAACGGGTGGACTTGTGGCGGACTGAACGTCTCAACGGACCAGGAGACTCCGGCTTTTCAGCCCATGGTTCTGCCATCAGAGCCTTGGATGTGAAATCCGATTTTAGATCGTGGCATCTCATGCAACTTGTTCCAAATTCGGAACCAATCCGAGGGCTCTTCCTACCCCATTTCAGTGGCGCGGGTCGTCAAGAACTGTTCAGCACTGGCAACCACGATGGGTTCTGCCCTGATTTCGGAATGCTTCAGCCTTCCTATCATACCAGTGCCACCGTCCGCGCGTGGGTCGACTCGTGGTTGCCAGCATGTTATAAAGCTAGTCGTCCATCGACGGGAGGAAGGGACCCTGGAGATGTGGAGGTGCTTCCTCCAAAAGGGATGTGGTCAGCTTCTTTCTCGTATCTGGACCCGACATTGGCAAGGTACACTAGAACATGGGACACGACCCTCAAACAGGTACTCAGTTTCTGATGTATAGGTTGATTCTTCCAACTCTGCAAGATCTTCGGCCTTTTCATCCTTCAAAACCTGCCAGCTTCAGACATTTTGCCTAGTTGGAAGATCTGCAGTCCACCGCCAACGACCGCCACCAGATAGATGCCCAGTCGGTCTCCTGGTACAGCAGTCTTGAGAAAGGTACCCCTAGCGCTCCAACTGGCTCCGTTTCGAAGATGGTCAGGTTGAATAGGGTGGTCTAACTACCTTCTGAGGAGGTGGGCCAGGAGCCCCAGGTGAGTTCGACTCCAGGTGCCTTGTGGCCCAGCACACTGCAGCTGCAAAGTGCTCAGCCGCTTCGGGTGAACTGTTCGGCCGCTTCAGGCGCCGCACCGCGGCCGTCGGGTTTGGTCGGTGAAGAGGACGGTGAGCTGGACTGGGATGCCAGTCCCAACCCAGTCCCAACGAAAAGAAGAACACAAAAAAAACACGTTTTAGAGTGTTTTAGAATTTATGGCTTCTTGTTCCTTGTAGTATGGCCAAGAGCCACTAGTAGCGTCCTTGCTCCTAGTAGCGATGCCCTTTGCTCCTAGCAGCGATGCCCTTGTTCCTAGTAGCTTCTTGTTCCTAAAAAGAAAACAGCCACACTCTGGTCTGCGGGAGTGTTGTATCGTCGTTTGGAAACAATAAGATCCACCTGCGTTCACCGAGTGCCAAGCAGAAACAGTGCTGCTTTTTGACTCGGCTTTCTTGAGATCCTTTAAATCTAGGACCTAGGAAAGGGCTATGAGACTAAAGATCCAGACTTGTTTCTGGTTGGGACTGGGTGAACCCAGGTTCACACCAAGCTCAGCAGGGCAACAGAGTTTCGCCACCCCTCTCTCACATCGAAGGCTTCAGGGTGACTCCAGATGTCTCCCAAGTCTTCCCCTTTTGGGCCCCACCAGGCATCCCTCTCTTTCAGGAGATGTGCGTTGATGTTTACCTACCGCATTTGGGACCGGGATCCCCGAAACCAACCCATCTGTGGAGTTCGCCCTACTTTTCCCACGAATCCTGTCTTTTTTTGGACGGTGTTTCATCGGAAAAAAACACGGCGAGAGCTCTCTATGGCGCAGGTTGCTCCGCGGCCCTGCGCGGCTACCTCTCCTCCAGCGCCTGCGAGGCCCGGACGGATGGCCTGCAGAGCGCCCTGAGTGGAGTTCGAACGGAGTCCGTGCCGGCGAGCTTGGTGGGCGACAACAGTCCCTTGAAAAAATTATCCCGGCAAGAGACCCCAAACAGTGTGTGTGAGGTCTGTTAGCAGAAAGTCTAGAGATCTAGACGCATTGGGGTCCAGAGAGGTGATGGTGGTGATGAAGTGAAGGTGGGTGTGAGTGAGTGTGGATGAGAGGGAGTGTGAGCGTGAGTGAGAGTGGGAGAGTGAGTGTGAGTACGAGTGTGAGTGAGGGTGAGTGTGGGCGAGAGTGGGAGTGAGAGTGAGTGAGCGTGAGTGGGAGTGAAGGTGGGTGTTGGTGAGTGTGTGTGAGAGTGAGAGTGAGTGTGAGTGAGAGTGAGAGTGAGAGTGGGAGAGTGAGTGAGTGTGAGTGTGAGTGAG